GATGGGATGACCCAGGTGGGAGAGATCTCTCTTGGCTGTCTCCCTTCTGGGTCTTACCTGTAGTGTCTCAGCTAACGATCCTCAGTTTCTCTGAGTTCTAGAACTGGTCTTTTCTTGTGGCAACTGCCTAATTTGATTGGTGGAGTGTTCTTTTCCTAGTTTAAACATACTATTATGACTTGGAAGAAACACTTTTCTCTTTAATTTTGTCAAGAAAGATTAGAATATTCCTCAAGGAATGGTCACCAAGTAATTAAGGAAACTCAGCAAAAGCTCATGAAAGTGTAGAAATTGGAAGAAGTTAAAGATTTAGCTCATGTAAAGTTTGGCCTAGGTATTCCCTCAGAAATATCTATCCACATATGAGATTGTCTGAGGTAGCTTGCAGGGTTTATAGGATGCTCGACCTCTAATTTCCTATTATTCCCCTTAGCTTTCTCTAGAAAATTTCAAACAAAAATTTCTTTTTTAGATCACGAGTATTTCACCTTCCTCTTTTCTCCTGAGTCATCTCCCCTAGGCCTTTCTTGCTAGCTATTTGGTGGTAGATTGTTAGCCCCAATTGGAAAAAGAAGCCACTCTTGTCTTTGTGTTATCATATCTATCTAATCCTTCAATAAATGAGGATTTATTTATCAGAATTCCCTACCCCTCTCCCCCACCCCCAGTCACCTTGCACCAGTAGAGGGGAAGCAAAGGATCACTCTCCTACAATGGGTCATATCACCGCAAAAAAAAAAAAGCCCAGTTTAAAAAAAAATGTTTGTATATTTACCTTTCCTTTGCTAGATTAATAGTGGATTTGACTTTAGATAGAGTTTGGATTTCAGTAGGTCTTGGGCACAGTTTAGCCTCTTGTGTTGGGTAAATCTGAGCACATAAGTTTTATCTACACCTAATGTTTTACTAGAAATCTAGTTAGAAATTTAGTGGCATTTCAACTAGGTGTTGCAATATATAGTGTTGGACTGGGAGTCAGGAAGACTGAGTTCAAATCCTCTCTTGGATGCCTAGTATCTATGTGACCCTGGACTTTTTTGTTGCCTCACTTTCTTTATCTGTTTAATAATAGGGTATAGTAATAGGCTGTTGTGAGGATTAAATGAGATAATATATGTAAAATCTTTTGCAAACCTTAAAGAACAACATACATGCTAATTTAGATGATGATCATTATCTTCATCATAATTATATTGGGTCTCCAAGCTATACTGGGGCCTATTTTCCAAACCTGCTATTTCATTATGTAGGAAACTCCTGGTAAGGAAATTCTCTCTACTAATGAGAGTTGTCAACTGTTCTGCTACTTATATCCAGTTTTAGAGAGTATTCAGAGACACTGAGAAGTTAAGTAATTTTCCCAGGATCACAAAGCAGTAAATGTTAGAGTCCCAGATCAAACCAGATCTTCCTCTCTCCAAGACTGCCTGTATCCACGATGGTTCCAGGTTGTCTGAAGAACCAATGAATGTTGGAGCTGCAAGAAATCTTTGAGGTCGCTTAAGTAGAAACAAAGCCCACCTGTCATAACAGGGATCCCTGGGGCCTTTCTATTGGCTTAGAAAACCAGAAATTAACAATTATCTATGTTCTATCATATTTTTGTTTATTCTTGTCAAATATGTCCCAATTCCATCTTAATCTGGTCTGGGCAGCACTCAGGATGGTGGCCCGCAGGCAGCCAATTTGACACCATCGATTGAGCTCCTTCTTCTCCTTTGTCAGCCGAGGGGCCTGAGGCCCAGAAAGGGGAAATGACTTCACTGAAATGAGGCAGCTAATGAATAGCGGAGCAAGGCCAGTGCTCAGTTCTACCCATGATCAATCCACTGTAGGAAGGCTGCCTCCCATTCTTTTTAAAGCCTTTCTTTTTTGGTAGCAATACTTGTTCTTGTCTTATATGCTTCTCATTTCAAAACTTCATTCTAAACTCAGAAGGGCCTGATGTACCCAATCCAATTTGTAACATCTTTGGAAGTGGATTATTTTGTGTAGATCTTCTGAAAAATAACTTCTCAAAGGCATTGTGTAAACCACAGAATTAGTAATGCCCCTCGTGCCTAATTCTTGTTCAGTAAAAACAGTTTCAGGTCTGTACTCTTATTGACCCAAGCCTTCTTTCATCACCCTGTTGTGTCCTTAATCTGTTCTAGGATCTTTGCCATAATCTTATCACTCTAATTATAGCCCCTAAAAATGTGAAATATGTTATATAACTCTTTCAGAGCTTGTTTGGACTTCTTATAGGCATGCTTATATGGTGAAAAAAAATCTTTCAAGCCAGAGTGCAAGTCATTCGTACTATAATTTTTCCATTTTCTTTGTAAAACACACACACACACACACACACACACACACACACACACACACACACCACACAGTGTCACCCAACCAAAAGGAAAACAGCAACCAGGTGTGTTTGGTTACTAAAATTCTACTAAAAAGTACTCAGCCTCAAAGGATAGTTAATGAAACATAGCCTTGTGTCAAGGTGCAGTGTAAAGTATGAAGTAACTGGAATAATGATTCTGGAGTAACCTGAGTTCAAATTCCACCTGTGACATTTAGCAACTGGGTGCCCTTTGATAAGTTATTGACCTTCCATGGGCCTCAGTTTCCTTATCTGTAAAATGAGGGTGTTGTACTGGATGGCCTCTGAGATTGCTTCTAGCTCTAAAATCTACGATCCTATGTGTGAGTCCAATAGTGATTGTCCCTTATAGCTTGAGGAAAAATAAATAGATGGTGGTTTCTTATTATAGACAGTTTGGAGTTGGAGAGGGGAGGGGATGGCTTAGACTATGTAAAGACATGCCAAAAATGGTAAGATGAAGAATCTGAATCCTGTGTTTTTGTCAGTCTAGAATCTCGGCCTCTTCTTTGGGTCCCCGTCAAGGAGCCAAGAAGCATGGCTCCAGTTGAATTGACTCAGATTTCTGGTCTCCACTCCTCAGTTGAGTTTGCTTCTGTTGATGCCCCACATAGAAAAGGCATACTGGATCTTGTATTTAGAGTTGGAACAGGCCTTGGAGGTCAAATAGTATAGCCCCTTCATTTTGTAAAGAAAGAAGCTGCTGAGACAGAGAGAAGTGATGTGACTTGTCTGAGATCACACAGGTAGTAAGTACATTGATTCAAAGTAAAATCCCAGCTCCTCTGATTACAGATTGTACCCTCCTTTCATTGTACCAGGCCACGTATATGCGTGGCATGCCACATCTATAGTGACATTTGTCTAAGCATTGTGCCTAGATCTTTATGATTGTTAAAATTTTGGTTTTGACAAAATCTTGATTAAAAAAAAACTTTCCATAAGCTTAGCTAATTTGATCTCTTTGCCACAATCCCAAAACAAATGTTGACTTATGATGAGAGAAGTTGACTATGTTCATTTGTGTTGGCTAGCTTGTTATTCCCTACTGATGAGACCTAAGTGGCAAATTCAATTGCTGTACAGGATAATGAAGTTTTAAACCAAGAAATGGCCTATACTATAGTCACAAGTGCTTGTCTAACCTTGGCCACCTACTGTGCAAACGTGCTTCAGTTCCTCAGTTCAGTGCCTGCCAGCTCTGTGACCAGAGTAAACAAAGCTGAAGACTTGTCTTTAAGCAGCTTATGACTTTGAATCCACCATTCTATAACAACCTTACTGAGGAGACAAACCATACCTGTTGTAAACAATCAGAGAATGATGTAAGATAGGAGTGCTGCATGAGTGAGGGCATGGAGCCTGGAATCGTGCTGGAGGGGAACAATGAGAACAGAAGAGAGGTGATAGTGGGGACTAAGACTGGATGGATGGGGTTGGCCTGAGTTTTGGAGGGCTTTGGAGTCTAGAAGGAGAATAGCCTTTGGTTATATGGCATATCATACATGCCCCTGGAGAAATACCTCAAAACACAGCAACCACTCCACATAACGCATGGCATAAGAATAGCTAGTTGTTGTTGTTTTTAATGGCACTTAAAGTTTTCAAAGTGTTTTAGATTTCTCATGTGATCCTCATATCAATTGTGCACGTTGACCTGTACATAGGAAACATAGAAGTAGCAATGGATTAGGAGTCAGAAGACCTGTGTCTTTCTGAGCTTTATAAAATTTACAAGACCTATTCCATCTGTTCTCTGGGGCTCAGTTTCCTTGTATGTCAGATGAGGGGTTAGACTAGATTAAGGGTGGGGAACCTATGGCCTTCTAG